CCATAAAGGCTGCACTAAACTATATTCTCACTAACACTGTAGGAGGGTTCCCTTTTCTCCACACCCTCTCCAGCATTTATCGTTTGTGGACTTTTGAATGATGGCCATTCTGACTGGTATGGGGTGATACGTCATTGTAGTTTTGATGTGAATTTCTCTGATAATTAGCGATATTGAGCATTTTTTCATGTGCCTATTGGCCACTTGTATGTCTTCACTGGAGAATTGCTTGTTTGCCATTTTTGGATTGCATTATTTGTCTTTTTGTTATTAAGTTGTCTGAGTTGTTTATATATTCTGGAAGTTAAGCCCTTGTTGGTTGCATTGTTTGCAAATATTTTCTCCTATTCCGTAGGCTGTCTTTTCATTTTGTTTATAGTCTTCTTTGCTGCACAGAAGCTTATAAGTTTAATTAGGTCCCAATGACACAAACTTTACAAAACAGAAACAAACTGACAAACCTAGAAAACAAACTTATGGTTACCAGTGGGGAAAGCAGATGGGGAGGGATAAATTGGGAGTTTGAGGTTAGCAGGTACTAACTACTGTGTATAAAATAGATAAACAACAAAGACCTACTGTATATCACAGAGAATTATATTCAATACCTTGTAATGGACTATAATGAAAAAGAATATGAAAAGGAATATATATATATCACTACAATGAGGTATCACCCCACACTAGTCAGGATCAGTCCATACTTCAGGGTGCTAGTTTGGTGGCTGGCTCCTCATTGTAGCCACCATTTACAGTCCTGATGGGGAGCTCGCCAATTTCTGGCATCACCAGCCCCTCTACAATGTCCCCTAACCAAAGAAAATTGTCTCACCTCCTGAAGGCTCATGACCTCCTTACTTATAATTGAAACATACACACCTTCTAGCAACTCCTATTTAAAATTAAAAAAATTTTTTAGTTTTTAATTTTTGGAGGAGGGAGTAATTAGGTTTATTTATTTATTTACTTAATGGAGGTACTGGGGATTGAACCCAGGGCATCATGCATGCTAGGCGTGCACTCTGCCACTGAGCTTATACCCTCCCCCTTCTAGCAACTTCTTAGTTCCCTTCCAACCTTAATTTTTCTCCATAAATTTATAACCATCTAGCATTCTGTAAATTGTATTGATTTTGTTTTTAGTCTCTCTCCCTTCACTAGAATGTGAGCACCATGAGGGAAGGGATTTTTGTATGTATTTGCCATTCAGATTCACTCCTGAGTCCCTGGGTGTCTAGAATAGTGCCTGGCACAGCATAAGCCCTCCACATATCTTTGTGGAATGAATGCAGTCTCACAAATCTCCCTCTGCCAGCCTGCAAAATACTCCCATGCACACGGAGTGAGGACTGAGCAGTGTGGTTTCAGAGAACCACCTTGTCTGCTTCGTAAGGCTGAAGCTGGTGTCTTTCCTCCAGGTCTCCGTGTTACGACACTCACCCCACACCCACTCACACTCGCAGCCTGGACCGGATTTCCTTTCTCTCAACTCACCTAAACATTCCTGGCAGAAACTTTGGCTTCCAGATGAAACTCTGCTCCACTGCCTCAAAATCTTTCTCAGTCCTACCCGGTTTCATTGACTTCCCCATCTACTCCTTTCCTGGATAGCAATTCAAGCTGATTCAACACTGGCTCACTGGGCACAAGGTATCAAGCTGTTTTCACATTGTTCATTCAACACACAATTATTAAGCATCTACATTTATAAGATGCCATATAAGGACAAAAAAGACATGGTTCTGTCCTCAAGAAGCTCCTAGTCTAGTGAGGGAGTCTGGAATGTAATCAGATAAATACTGATCTGTGTCATCAGTTCTGTGACAAAGAGAAGCCCATGAGTGGTGGGAGCCCAGAAGAGGAATTGCCAACCCGACTGGCTCCCAGAAGGAGAAGTTGTATGAGGTGAGGCTGGAAGAATGAGAAGGAGTTTTCCAAGTGATGAAGTGGGAAGAAAGATGTTTTAGGCAGAGGAAGCCACATGTGCCAAAGTCTGGAGATGGGCAAGCACTGTTTTGTAAGCTAGGAGAGTCACCATCTGCACAGGGACTAGAAGAGATGAGGCTGCAGAAGAAGGCAGGCACCAGACCCCACAGGGATTGGGAGGCCATGGCAAGAAGTTTGGATTTTAGCTTGAGACTACTGAGGAGCCACCGAAGGGTATTTCAAGGGTGTGGAGCATGGGTTGGAGGAGCAAGGGTGAACTCCGGGAAACAGGAGGCACTTTGCTACTCCAGGTGATTGTGAAAGATGATGATGGCCTGTGAGGGCAGTGTGGATATGGGGGTGGGGACACACTCCAACTTGAATGGTAAGGAGGAGAGAAAAACCCCTGGACTTGGGGACTGGTTGGCTAGAGGATCTGGATCAGGAGGGGAGAGGTGCTGAGTTAAGGTAGAACCATGGTAGCTTTGTGGTACTGGTGGGACATCTGAGGTGTGATATCCAGCAGGCAGGAAGACTCATGAGTGCCACCATCTCCCTCCAGTAGCCCTGTCCTGTCCATCTTTGGATTCTTCCTTCTCTCCTTGTCACTCACTTGCCCTGTCATTTCTACCAGATCTCTCTGTTCATACCTCTCTTCCCTCTTCTTTGTGAGGCCATCAGTTTGTCTGCCCACCTCTTTCCCCTTACATTATTCTCTGTTCCACCCCAACTAAACAGCCCTAAGTAGTCTGAGTACAATTGCCTATTTCTAATTAATACATTATTCTCTGTCCTGTCAACTTCTTCCCCATAATGAATGTTTAACTGCAGAGATGCCCTTGAACTCTTGATATAGCATCATCTGATCAGAGGCTTTTGAGCTCCTACATAGAAAGGTCCTTAGAATGCAAAGCCCAGAGAGAGGAAGTGAATTGTTAAGGTCACACAGTGAGTCCCCAGCTGAGATGGGACCAAAACCTGGGACTTCTTTACCCTAGGCTGGTGCTTGCGTGCATAGAGCAGATTCTCCCTGTCACAAAAAGGATACTTGAGATACTGAGCAAACACAGAGGGCAATCATTTGCCATGAAGACACAAAGAGGAGCTAGGAAATCTCTTCCAAACTCCTTCAGTAGAGAGTTGCTCTTCAGTTGACTCTGGCTTTCAAGGTAGGGGATGTACTAGGCTGACCTCTGCTCCTTATGTGTTCTCACTGGGTAATATCACCTAGCAGGTATTAGGTAAGCTACTGGGACCAGCTGATTGGAGGAGAATGGAGACAGGCATCTCCTTCTCTGACAGTATCTCATCTGAGTAGCAACATGGGTACCTTATCGGCCAGTCCAGAGATCACCGTGTTCCAACAGTGGCAGCTGAGAACCAGGAGCCCTATGGAGAGCAATAAAGGTTAATTACCCACAAGGGCAGGGTCCATCTCTTCCAGACCTTCCCTAGGGAGAGAGAAGGCATCGTGATAGGAGTGGTGGACCCCTGGGGCCTCCAACCCACTTGGTGGCCTCTCTGAGACTCAGACTCTGTGCCAGGGTTCATCCAACTGACACAGGCTCAACCATAATTATAATCACCCAGGGACAGGAGACCTGGAGTCAAATCTCTCCTTCATGGCTTAGTAGCTGTGTGACCTTGGGCAAGTTACCTAACTGCTCTGAACCCCAATTGCCAACTCTGTAAAACAGAAGTAATTAGTAGTATCCACCTCACCTTGTTCTGGGATGCTTAAAGAAGGGTATGAACAAGAAAGAGCTCTATAAACTCTAAACTACTCCACAAATGAGAGGAAGTTTTATTGCCAGGAATTCTACTGTCTGACTGACTAGCAGTCCTGCCTCTACCACGGACTCCTCTTGCTGTAATTTCAGCCCCTACCTTCTTGCTAGTCCTTCTTCTTCAAAGTGGGATGAGAGGTGTCCTCCAAACACTACAACTGCCTTCTTGAATCTTGTGGCGCACCCCTACACTCTTTACTTAAAAGCAGAAATTCAAGAGGACATGGTTTCTGACTTTAAACTTTGAAGATGCCACAAGCAGAGATTGTAGGTAGGATCGGGGTGGCCTCTAGCCAGAGTGGGAGAATAAGGACCCATGCTTCTTCTCTTCCCCCAGCTGCCCTTCTTCCAATAGCAGAAAACCAGTCCCACAAAGCCACCTCGAAAATTTGCATTTTTAACATGCACCCCAGGTGATACTGATGAAGACAACCTCAGACTGGGCTTCAAGGACAGCTGCCCTAATTCCTCTACATGGCTGGAACCAGGAAGTAGCCCTCCTGTCTCCTTTACAACTTAACTGAAGGCAATAGCTTATCTCAAATGGTGGCAGTGAGACACTGTGAGTGACAGGTGGGAATCACATTGGGGTCCAGCCTCTCCACCTCTCTCAGGTGGTACCTCATGCATATGACCACACTGGCCCATAGGTGCCTCTGCTACAGTCCAGCCTGGAGGAGCTGTGACCACCATGGGAAGCACAGATTATGGAGAGGCAAAGAGTCCATTTTTGTGAGTCTGCAAAGAATACACACAGTGACTTGATGGAGGAAGACAGCTGGAAGCCATTTTCAGAAAGGACAGAAGAGGAGGGAAGGAGATGGAGCAACCAAGGGAGATGATCAGAGGGGCTCTGGGCCCAGGATGTATGTTCCAGGAGGTGTCTTTGAGGAGAGACTGACAGGAGCACAGGGCAGTGGATAGTGTGGGGTGGGACACACAATATGATTTCCAAGCAGCTTGAGAGGAAAGTTGCCCAGTTCCTTCCCTCCATAGCTATATCAGAGACAGCAGAAACTGGTGCCCTGCATTGTACCAGGGTCATCTGATACACCTCAGTTGGGGAGGCAAGCATCCCAGGTCTGAGTACCACCCCTACTATAGATGCATTAGAACTAGAAGAAGGAAGGCATCTATGAACAAGTTGCAGTTCTGCGTTTGCAACCAGTGTTAGGAACTTTGGAAGAGCTAGATGGTACTTGGCAGGGATGCTGCACAAAAGACCCCAACACAGAATAAAAGTGGACCCAGAAGACTTTAAAGTTTCTCTCATCCCTAAGTATGTATGTTTCTGTATTTCTCTGATTAATCCAATCAAGTTTGAGGAGATTTTCCAGATGGAAGATAATAGTAATAAGCCTAACATTGCTGGGATATATTATTATATGTCCCAAACCGTTCTAAGCTCCTTATGTATTGATCCATTTACTCCTTGTATCC